ACGGCCAGATCCCCTGGTAACTCCTCGCAGCGCCATTATCCTTAGACCGTAATGATCTAACTGCGCTTCCACACTGTTCACTCGCTCCCAAAGGGCCCTCACAACATCCAGCCTGTCATACATCATTTCACCACCAAGTAGTGCAGAGCCAGTCTATCTACCTGCTCATTTCCCAACACACCGGCATGACCTGGAGAAAATATTCAAAGGATGATAACTACTCGTGGCCTCTGAGGCAATGCTTGCAACTCTGCACGAAGCATGCCTGGTTTCACCTTTCTCAGCATGCTCTGTGAGTCAGTTACAAAAACAAACAAATGTATAAACTGAACGCACGTCAAAAACTACCGACTGTAACCCAAATGGCACGACAGATAACAACGGAGATCGATTAGGAACCCGATGTTTATTTTAATATGCCAGGTTTTAGAAGGACAAGCTGTCAAAAAGTAACAATATGGTGAATGTTTGATTTTGTCGTTGTTGTTGTCTGGCTCTGCTCAACAGTACGTCGTTCTAACATCTATTTGAGGCATCGCTTTTTTTACCCTAATGTAAAAGGCACTTTGTGGTGTGTACGGGCACATTTTTATTTAAAGAAAGAAAACAAAGCATTTGACAACAAAACATTAGCAGAAAATCATAACAAAGATGTGATGTCTTAGAAGTGCTGTCAGGGTAACAATGAAAAAAAAAAAAAAAAAAACGGAGAAATTAAAAGACTTATTAAGCCAGAATTGAAATCAGTCGCACAAGTCTTAAATAACATTAGACGCACATATTAGTCCTTTTAGAATGCTCCGTTACCAGCCACAAGAGATAGTCGTGCTAAAGAAATCTAATGAGCAAAGAGCAAGTTCCGCCATTGGGGCAAACTGTCCAGATTTTTATATAGACGTCATTCTCCTGTCTTTTCGCTGTAAAATGTGCAAACTGTCACTCAGCATTTTCGCTTGAAACAATATTTCCCCATGTCCTGTTCTGAAAACTCTTCACTAAATACATCTTTTTTTTCTCTCATCAATTTGAGTTTTTTCCTATAATTTACGTACTCCCTGATGTTCTTTTTCTTTTTTCCCCCCATTTCTCAAGGGAAAGGCGAGACGGATATACAATCAGGTAGTTACTGGTACAATCGGAATTTTAACTCTTTGCTTGCTGTTAAAGATGGAGACAGGGGGTGTTCCAAGTGTTGTGATGTCGATTCTTACTTCAACATTCATCATTTGTTTTTCTCTTTTCTTTCTTCAACCAATAATATTTAATACATTTTTTTTTTTTTCAATTTTCGTGAAAGCCTTATTTCTGCTGTACTCTACTGACCTAGGTCAAACGAAAATAAATCGTGAGCGTGCTATCTGAAAAAACAATTGTGCAATTCTACACGATTCACAGCCGTTTTTTGAAAATGAATTCATTTATAGCGTCGAGCTAATGAGAACAAGGCGGATATAGTAGTAGCACGACAAATGCATCAACACAAAAAAAAAATAACATCAGATCATATAAAACAAATGGTTGTATAAACACAACGCACGTCAAAAACTACCGACTGTAGCCCAAATGGCTCGACAGATAACAACAGAGATCGATTAGGAACCTAACGTTTATTTTAATATGCCAGGTTTTAGAAGGACAAGCTGTCAAAAAGGAACGATATTGAGATTGTTAGAATAAAAATAATTGGGTTCTAGTTAGAGGTTTTAATCACACCGCAGTATAAACACTCGTGAAGAAATAGAAAACATTTAAACATTAATAGACACCGTTATGGATATAAAATTGAATCAACCACAATTCTTTTTCACTAACTATATTACTGCCTGCGTTAGAGCTTTCCAAAATGTGTGTTGCGACACATTAATGTGTCTGCCTCAGTGCACTGTTGTTTTACCTTGTTATTGGGTTGGTTTAGTTATTTATCATCATCATCAATTTCCACTTCCGCCTTTAAGCGTTGTGGGGAGGAACAATTTGTAATCCATTGCTTGATGGGCAGCAATGGCTATTGTCATTCTGTGTCGATGAAGAAGCTCTTTAATGTCATCAATCCATGTTTTACTAGGTCAGCCTCTTGCTTCCACTAATTTCACGTTTGGTTTTCACTGTAACTGTTGTTCGCTTTTCGATGTGTTATGTGTGTTTCTTGTCTTAACAGCGCTGTTGAAATCTCACCTTTTCTTTAATTTCTTCCACAATAATCAAGCAATAGCAGTTGAACAAATATATTCCCTGTCTGTTTGCTGGACCTGTTGTGTGTTCATCTTTATTTGATTCCGCTGGTGTAGCAACACACACTCAAAACACATTTTAACCTCCAATCAATCAGCGAACAATGTTTACTCTGCCATCTTGATAACCAGTCAGGTTGACTGTCTTTAGTTATTTACTCATAAATTATAACAATTACATTATCTCGGGAATATGTGTGTTTGATATTAGTCATCAAAGAACAACAAATGAAGTGGTCTGGACACCTAACAAGAATGTCCTGGTAATATCTGCCACATCGAGCCAAACTAAAACGTTACAACGGGTATAGAGCGAGTGGAAGACCTCGGAAAACATGGAGTGATGGCATTAAGACCAAACAGCCTTACAGAAATGAACATCAGTCTTAATAGTGCTCTTGACAGAGCTCATCAACGAACATTACATCTCCCCCCGACACTTTGATGAGGTACACGGTGGAAGAGAAGAAGAAGAAAAAGATATTAGTAAGTTCGTTATTTTCGTATCCTTTACAGGACATTGCAGAACCAACCCAGGCAGTTTGTTGTTGTTTTTTTTTAAGGCAAATTTTACGATCAGTAGTTTGCCAATGCTACTGAATGGTCAGCTCTCGGTACCACTGTTGAAACCCATGCAAGACGAACGGTCCGTAGCTGGGATCGAACCTGGCACCCCGACATTACGAAGCTCGATCGCAACGCCAAAGCCACAGACGCTGACGTGTTGAATATTAATGAACGCTTTTCACGAGATAGATATTGATAGGAATCAGTTTGTTATCACAATTTAAGAATGCAACCACCCTCTTATAATAGGTTTGACGAACGTCTGGTTTGCCAGTGAGAGAATTACTGTGTCGCGAAAGTTTGTCCTAAAAAGTGCATCACACCAAAATGAACAGTTTCAAAGCTCTGACTTTGAGTGTTATGGAGGTATACGGTTTCGATTCCAGCTATTCTGATCACCTCGATCATCGACACATCAAACCGCTGTGGAGTTCTCTAGTTATCTTTCTATCTTGTTCTTGGTCTAATTCTGGTTTTTTGTCCCTCTCATCTCTAAATGTGTTCCTTCATCTCTGAATGTGTCCCTCTCATCTCTGAATGTGTCCCTCTCATCTCTGAATGTGACCCTTTCATCTCTGAATGTGACTCTCTCATCTCTGAATGTGGCCCTATCATCTCTGAATGTGACTCTCTCATCTCTGAATGTGACTCTCTCATCTCTGCATGTGACTCTCTCATCTCTGAATGTGTCCTTTGAATGGTATGGCGCCATTGTCTCTAAGTTGGAAAATGGTATGTTCATGGCTCTGCTCTCTATGAAGCAAAGGTGCCGGTACACACCACAGTGTGTAAAACAAAAGAGGGTATTGTGCTCACCCCAAAGTGTCTATTGCAGTAGCGCTAAAATAATTATGTCTTAAAAGGGTGCAGGTACTACATACTGCCAAAAGGAAACAATTTCGTTATGTTTGCTTCTTTGTTCTATGCCTATTTTCTTCTTTCTCTACATACATCATTCCTTTCTGATATTGCCACTTCTAGTCTGTTTCGCTGCCTTTCTCTGACACCTCGAGACTTACGGATTGTTCATGTGTTTCTATAAGGCCTTAACCACATCTGCCTTAACATGCATCAGTATTCCGCCAAGTTGTGCAGAACCAGCCAGTATGTCCGATCGTTCATTTCCCAACACACAGGCATACATAGACGAAAAGATTCGGACAATGTTCTGTTCTCTAGACAGTGGAAAGCTGCAGTCACCGCCTCCACCTCCATTCGTAAGCTGGATGTTTGGCACCTGCTGGTCACTTGCTGCACTCTAGACTCAATGTGATGTATCGCGGAACCTCGCTCTAACACAAGCCTGAGCAAGATGTCCTGCGTTGTACACCCATCTGGAGCTCATCTGCACTCTACCCATCTTCTCCTTGGCCTTCTTCCTCTCTTCCCAGGCATATACCCCTCCATTATTGTTCTCTTCCTGGCCTAATGTTGTCTTACATGATGCTTGAAAACCTGTCTGATCTAATTGTGCACTCTTCACTCCTCCGCCATGATGCAAACCCCGCCTGACCCTTCGCTCTACTCTGAGCTGCAGACACAAAGGGACTAGACTCAGCAGGTTAGCAATATCAACCCTCTCCCCCACGCCTCTCCCTCATGTATTTGTTGCTGTCTTAGTGCACGTCTAACTCGTTTGTAGCGTATTTTTGTTTGCTCGTATTACAGTTCTACTACTTTGAGTCACAAACCAAGAAACTAGACCGTATGATAATCAAGAGAAGATGGACATGGCTTGGCCACGTTATGAGAATGAATCCTGATATGCCTGCCAAAAACAGCTCTCACATGGATGCAAGAGGGAAAGAGAGAAAAGGGGGTGCCCAAAAACATCATGGAGACGAACGATGGAAAGTGACCTGAGTGCGGCATCTCTGACATAGAAAACTGTCCTGAAGATTGCACGGGACAAGAGAGCATGAAAATTCCTTTCTGAAGCCTCATGTGCCATTTGGCATAAAGAGAACTGATGATAACTGATGATGATGTATTACAGCTCTGAGTGATTTTGTGTATACCTGTCCGTATTTGTGACATAACATAATCCTATAATATGCCGAAGAAGGCTCTCTAACCGCAACGTTAACTTGTTGTTTTGTTCTGCTTTTCGTGTAGTCTGATATATTCTCATGATAACGTAATGTAAGCATTCTAACTGTTCGATCAGACGCTACACAGACAAGAAGAGTGGGAAAAACTTACATGTTTCGAGATTTCGATTTGGCCTGGCTGATGGCACCGAACTCATCAGTTGCCATCATGGCCGAGTCGGCGGATTTTGTTTTATGGATTCTGCCGACGATGCTCTTTTTGCTGCAGGCTCCGTCGTCTTCAAATTCAGGGTTATCCTCCCGTCGGGCGTGGCGGATATCGCCCTCGCTAGCCCTGGATTTCCGTGCGGCCATCTGGAAAACGATCGAAATGGTTGTAAAGATATAGATAAGGCGATTCACATGCATATTATATATAACATCGGCAACGGGGTCGCCCATTGGCAGGCTGGTAGATGACTTCATCGTTGGTGGGGAAAGTATTTGGGGTCTGTCTACTTTGATTAGTCGGCTCTGTGGTTAAGTCGATGCGAACGCTTCGTAATGCCGGGATGCCGGGTTCGATCCCAACTGTGGGCCATGCGCCTTTCGTTGGTTTCGATAGTGTTATCAAGAAAGCCGACCGTCCAGGAAGTAATGACAAACTACTGGACGTAAATTTGCCTAGAGAAACCACACAACAACCAGGGGCTGTTGGGGGTTGGTTCTGCAAACGTCCTGTAAAGGATACGCAACTAACCATAATACTAAAAAGCAATAGGGACTTTTTGACAGAAATCAAAAGGAGGATGGCCATAGCAACGCAAAGATTAAAAAGCATTACAAGTATATGGTTAAGCATCAACAAGCAAATTTAAAATTGAAATTTTGGCAACATACGGGTGTCAGTCATGGACTATCTCTTAGTACTTAGGAAAGAAAATAGGGACTTTTGAGCTGAAATGCTATAGAAAGATTCACAGAATACAATGGACAAAGAAAAGACATTTTAAAAGATCGGAACATCAAGGAAGATTGGCTGATGAACAGCATCGTGTCTCGTACCAGGAAATATTTTGGTCATATCAAGCGCCATGGGGGATTGAAAAAAAAAAACATTATAGCAGAAGGTATGGTACCAGGAAAAAGGGGCAGGGGTCGACCAACCAAGTTAGTTAGTCTTTCCTCTTGAGCCATAGGTAGCGCATAGGGCAGAAGTCATAGCTCTCCGTGTCTGGCTGTTAGTTGCCACCTGTTTTAGGTCTTAAGCGTTGTTTTTTAGGCCCCTAGTTGTCTTCCCTGATGATGGTTCTATTTAGAGCCTAACTTGGTCTGCCCCGTTTTCTTTTCCCTTTTCCCCCTGTTATTATTATTATTATTATTATTTTTTTTATTATTGCACAGTTAAACAATTCCCTTTGAGGCCCCACCTCCCCAACCTCGCAATTTTCTAGCAGTTTGCTGGTCTAAAAGGATTTAAGCCTTGGTTAAATTTGCCATAATAGTAAAAACTACGATAATAAGTGTTGTTATTTTCGTTACTGCGCAATAAAACAGTACCTACCCCCTCCCCAATCATAGAAAAATAACGGTGGTGGTAGTGGTAGTGGTGGTGGTGGTAGTGGTAGTGGTAGTGGTGGTAGTGGTAGTGGTGGAGGTGGTAGTGGTGGTAGTGGTGGTAGTGGTGGTGGTGGTAGTGGTGGGGTGGTGGTAGTGGTGATGCTGGTAGTGGTGGGGTGGTGGTAGTGGGGTGTTAGAGCGACCCATGTTTTTTCTGTGGCGCTGCGCCTTCCTGAACTAATTTGTCCACTACAGTTGCATCCAGTTACAGGCTTAACGAATTCAAGAGACTAAGACTTACTTCGCGGCGAAGTTAAATTCAGCCTAGATTCAAATAAACTAGTTTGGTCGGAAATGTAAGCATTTCCTTTTCCGCAGCTCTGACGTCATCTGTGTAAGATGGCGGCGGCTGTGGAAGCGATAAGCCGAACCTTATCTCCCGAGAGATGGCAGGTTGTAAATACATACGTCTTACTGTAATCAGGAAGGACAGGTAGCCGAAGCCGTGATACGAGCAACTGCAGTTTCTGTTATTATATCGTCTGCTGCAATAAGTTGAAATTAATCCTTTCTGAATAAACCGATGGAGTGTGAAATGCTTTGGTATATTCAAGACTACAGTATCTTATGGCGAGCAAGTAAAATGTCGTAATGAGACTCAAAAGATAACGATATACAGAAGAAAAGGTCGTATTCAATTGTTTTATGAACTGATTAAAAGAAACAGCTTAAATGTGAAGGTTCTTAAATCAAGAGAGAGAGAGAGAGAGAGAGAGAGAGAGAGAGAGAGAGAGAGAGAGAGATGCCGAAGACAAGAGAGAGAGAGAGAGAGAGAGAGAGAGAGAGAGAGAGGGATGGAGGGTGAGAGAGAGGGGGCGAGAGGTGAAATAATTCGACCAAATTAAAAGACATTAACTCCTTCTTCTTCTTCTGAGTTTGTCCTACTGCTTATTTGGTAAAGCACCGTAGAGAGGAGATAGATTCAGTTTCCTGTCTTCTGCTGGTTCTCTGGCTTATGTTATTGTCATATTACGTTTCTGTAGTGTCTCTTTTACTCCCTCCATCCATCTCTATCTTGGTCGGCCTCTTGCAGCCTGCTGTTCTCATGTAGTACGTTCTAGCTGCTGTTTGATTGTGTTCCATTGTGACCAGATGAGCAAAATCATTTGATTCCCTGATGTTCTAACGTAACACTCGTATGAATGACATTACACTCTGCTCAAAGACATAAGACTCTTATACAAAACATATTTTTGCTAAGTATCTAAGGATCCCTCGGCTCTGTGGCGATGCAAAAGCTTCGTAATGCCGGGATGCCGGGTTCGATCCCAGCTGCAGGCCATGCGCCTTGAGTTGGTTTTGTCAGTGGTATCAACAAAGCTGACCGTCCAAAAAGCAATGACAAACTACTGGACGTAAATTTGCCTAGAAAAACCACACAACAGCCAGAGACTGTTAGGGTTGGTTTTGCAACCTCCTGTAAAAGATACGCAACTAACCAATCTAAGGATCCAGGTTGTCACGTCCCCTGTCTTACTAAAGTGACTAAGAAAAAGAAAAAAAAAAGACATGCATTAGTTATGACCTTACCAGTTCTGCCTCCTTGCTCTTCTGTCTCTGTTGTTCCAAAAACAGCGCATGCGCGGGGACGTCTTTAGCACATCCGGCGCTTTGAGAACGGTTCAGTGGTCGGGTCAACATCTTCCTGAACCGCCTCTTTTTCCCAGTATCTTTGCTGGTTCCATTAGAAGCTTGATCTGACAATCTCCTTTCCCCGTTTATTTCACCATCAGAGCCGTCTGGGCTAGAACTGCAAGAAAATGTTACTGTGCCACTAGCAGACGCAGCAGCTTCGCGAACTGGAGCTGCAGCCTCAGACATTCCTTGATCGTCCACTTCTTGGAGCGAGCTGGCGGAAGCGGCCGAGCTCGGCTCATCGCGTGCTTTCTGAGCTATGTAGCGCTTTGCGTTGGCATGTGAAGATCTAGCCAGCTTCTTGTTTTTAATTAGTCGCAAACCGCTGATTCCCGCAATTAGGCCGCCTTCTTTCGACAGGTCATCCCCACTTCTGCTGGACTGACCTCTTTCTAGAGACGATTCAAAGTCACCTAAACAAACACTGGTGTCTGTTTCAGATCGCGCCAAGGGAGCTCGAACTCTATCCCTTCCCTTGAGTTCTTGGCACATATCGAGACTACCTTTGCGCGCGGATGAAGCGCCGGCGCGATCTCTTGCGCCTGTTTTGCTGGCGTAGTGTTGGGGGTTGGATAACTGCTGCACGAAGGCGTCCAGTTCCTCTTCTGTCCACTGGCTTCGGACAGGGCTGGTCACGTGACCGGACCACCTGTTTGCTGCAGGGGATGTAGGCTCATCCAAATGGACACCCTGTGGAATAGAAAACAAAGAATCCAATCATGTTATGCCCTAGGATCCCTAGGTGCTTTGCTACACATTGTCATGCACAAGAACCAGGGCCCATGCTGCCCAAGACTTATGTACACTTCTCCACGGTCATCCAAGAAATAAGGCCTCTAACTATAAAGTAAGTATATGACCATTTTTTATGCCTCCGTGCGTAATGGGTATATAGGGCTAGACCTACATTTTATAGACAAATCGGCACTCGGTGGGTGTGTGGTCAACGTCACGCCGTCCGTCTTTACTTCCCAGTTCAATATCTGGTATCCCCTCAAGACTAGTTAGATCTGGGAGCTGAGGTCATTTCTGAAAATGTCCAGCACCGTCGGAACCCGAACCCAACCTTTCGATCGGCACGAAAAACAAAAAAAACCCACAAAAAAAAATAAAAAAACAAAAAAACAAAAAAAAAAAAAGGCAAAAAAAACACAACATAAACAAAAGAGACCAAAAGAAAAAAAACGACAACGATCTAGCACGCGCTTCATCACGGCTAGCCGCTTCACCACGGCGGTTCCCAAGTTCCCAGCTATATCCGACACACACACACAAAAATTAAAAAATTACATAAAGCGCTAAATGCCCGTGTCGAGGCGCTCACTGAGTTCCGATATAGTTGGCTATAAAATATAGGTATGAAAACGTGGAAAGGGTCTTTTACTTTTTTGTTTCTATTTGCCCAAATGCGCAAATTGTCTTGTCCTAGTGGTTACACTGTACAGCGTCGCAGAGAGGAGATGCAGTCAGTTTCCTGTCTTGTGCTAGTTGCGTAGTTGTGTGTGTGTGTGTGTGTGTGTGTGTGTGTGTGTGTGTGTGTGTGTGTGTGTGTGTGTGTGTTATATTGCGTCTTTGTTACGCGTTTTTTTGTTTGTTATTAATATAAATTTCTGCAACCTATGGTGCCATTTCAATGGTTTGAGATGAATTCTGTCCGTATTCCATAGTTGTGGATTTCAAGCTGTACGATAGACATAGCCAGTGATGACACTTTTTTTAGGGAGTACCTAGTTGACCATGTTCTTAGTGCACTTGTTTCCATAGCGCGGCACACACGCCAGTTGGAGGTGACGGGTTCGATTCCCGGCACGGTGACTACAGCTTACGATTTTAATGTTGTCTGGTATGTTCTTCTATGTTTCTACTTCTTTTTATGAGTGCCGATCAATACCTGTCTATTTATTTATTACATTTTTCCATCCGTCCATTTCTTCCTGGTCGTGTCTTGCTTTGTAGTCTGGTGTTCTTATGTAATACGATCTAGTCTTCTCTCTTTAAGTCGTAGGTTGGATGAGGCTTAATAGCGTGATTTCCTAACAATTTATTTTAATTAATTAATATTTTGAATCCCAAATCAGATAAAATAACAACACCATAAGAAGGATATAAAGCAACAGCTAAGGCAAAATAAGTTAACTTTATTACAGGCCGGTGAAAAACAAGATTAAGAAAAATTTATAATGTAAGAGCGCTCACAAACGCACTGTGAGTTTTTGCGACTAAACGAGTTAATGTCTACAACAACAACACAACAGGAAAATAGAACTGAAGGGAAAAATAAAAAACAGACTGACTGACTTTCTACCCCACCAGGACATCACACAAGCGATAAACACCCGATGACACAAAGTGCCACCATGCGGATGAGGATCACCGTGGAGAGGTCCCAGAAACCGCGTTCAGACATTTGGCCATAATAATGACCTGCCTATATTGCGGCCACTGGCAAAAGCCAGAGTGGGGCTTCAAATAACAAAAAATTACGTCCTAAGAAGGACGTAAATGCAAACAGAACCCGGTAAATGACGTGGTTGGAAAATTTATGAGTAAGACTCGACATTTTCTTATCTGAAAATGGTGGGTGGACAAGAAGTGATATCTACGAGTAACTAAGTCCTATCTACCGCTTACGCGAAGACCGTTAATTCCAACCAGGGTTTCCCCGTCTTTAAGATGCTAGAGGTGAAATGTAGAGATTAGAAAACTGTTTTAACACTAATGTAGTTTCTCTATCCAAGAACTTCGCAGTATTTAAGAGTCCGGGGATTAAAGAGCCAAACAGGCCTCTGCCTTAATGGTGTATTGAACGTGTTTTGATCGAAATTCTGGCCAAGCTGGTGCAGAGCGTGTTTTTGTTCCCGTCGTTCTAGTTCAGGATATCTGTGTCTTTTTCGTTGAAAAAGACTAGTTGTAATTTTCTATTATAGATGTGTGCGTATTTTCTTTTCTTTCGTCGAGCTTAGGTTTAAATTTTTTTATTGCGTTTATTAGTTTTTTATGTTGTAGGAATACGCACTTCTCCTTTTTCTTCTTCATTGATCATCGGCTGTAAGCTCAGACAGAAAGTCTTAGCATCTCATCCATTTGGACTTTGGCTTTGTGCCAGTACCTGAGTTTTGCGTGTAAATCTGTTTACTGGCTTATTTATGTGCAGTTGGTTGTTCCCTGCCTCCCCGAAAATTATTACTGCGGCTTTGACAGAAGTCCCTAATTAATCAACTCTTACGACATGCTTGTTTGGAGGCGGGGAAAACGGGGCGGGGCGGTCTATTTTTGACTCCCCTGCAATGGGGTCCCGAAATACACACGGAAAGAGATACGCATTTAAAAAATAAGGTGCTAAATATAACATAAATATGATTAGAAAGATCAACTGAGTTAGTGGAAACGACGCACACAAATCCTTCTATCTTTCTACTTCTTTCTATGAGTGCGAATCAATACATTATCTGTTTTTAATTATTATTTGTATAATACTTCTACGGACTCAAGGGTAACGCCTTTGTTTATTTATGTGAATGACGTGTAACAGAATGGAACCGACCAATCAAATCACTTTCTTAACAGTGTTTTGTGTCATAACCCAACATTACGGTCCGATATGTTTGTAATTGTTTGTGTGTTTGTTATTCGACCTATGCTTGATGAATATACATTTCTGTAACCTGTGGTACTATGTCAATGGTTTGAGGTTGATTCTGTCCGTATTCCATAGCTGTGGATTTTAAGTTGTACGATAAACATGGCCAATGAAACATTTTTTTAAAAGGGTGCCTAGTTGGTCATGTTCTTAGTATACTTATTTCAACAGCTAGGCGCTCACGCCGTTTGTAGGTAAGTAAAGTAAAGTAAAGTTCCCTTTTCACGCCTTTCGGCGCATCGGGCATATGGGCAAAGCGTCCCATATTTTTACAGACCATCAGCACTCTGTGGGTAATGTGGTCAGCATTACGCCGGCTGTCTTTACTTTCCCAGGACAGCCCATCCTGGTACCCATTTTAGGCTGGGTCGACCTGCGACGTCCCATACCACAACAAAAATCCACGCAGTCTGCAGTGGGTTTCGATCGCGGTATGCTGGCTTACGAGTCGGACTTGCAACGCCTTAGCCACGGACGCCGCATCGTTTGTAGGTAACAGATTCGATTCCCTACACGGTAACGAAAGCTTTAGATTTTTATGTTATCTAGTGTGTCCTTCTATCTTTCTATTTCTGTCTATGAGTGCCCATCAATACAATGTCTGCTTGTTTACTATATGAAAATACAACCGAACGTTTCCACTAACAGAGTATAAAATATAACACACGTTGTGACTAGAAAACTCAACGGACAACACAACACATTCTGTAAACAGTCGTCTGTCTTTCTACTTCTTTCTATGAGTGCTGATCAATACATTGTTTCTTTGTTAATTATATATAAAACACATATTGTTAACAACCAGGGGGAGCAGGAAACCAAAACGTACGTAACAAGAGAAACAAATGTAGTCACGCAGGGAGATATCATGAAGGGCGACATCACAAGGGGGTGATATCCTAAAGGGCGATATCACGAAAGGCGATATCATGAAGGGTGAGATCACGAACGCAGATATCACGAAGAGTGATATCATGAAGGTGATATCACGAAGGGAGATATCACGAAGGGCGATATCACGAAGGGTAATTTGACGAAGGGAGATATCACAAAGTGAGATATCACGAATAAGAAAGAATAAGTAAGAAAGCGTTGGAAACAGGAAATATTTTTTTTTAGTTGCGTATCCTTTAGAGGACGTTGCATAACGGCAAATTTACGTCCAGTAGTTCGCCATTGCTTTCTAGACGGTCGGCCCCCTGATACCACTGTCGAAACCAACGCAAGGCGCATGGCCCGCAACTGGGATCGAACCTGGCACCCCGGCATTACGAAGCGTTCGCATCGACTTAGCCACAGAGCCGACACAGGAAATATAACAAAGAAAAATATACAGGCGTTTAGGCACGCATGTGACTATTATGACCACATCAGCAGACTGCAGTCAACCACTTAAAACTCATTCCCCCCCTCCCTCACACAAACCTCCACACAAACCACACAACTGACACGTTTTCAGATCACCCTTGAGCCACGCTCAAAACGAACCAGTTAGAAACGCCATCATGGATTACTCACACCCAGACAGTCGTCTAGTCATAGGGCCACAGGTGTGAGTGTTACATAACGTGTCCTGTTTGTGTGTCACCTGTCGACGCCAAATCATATGTATTTAAACTAGATATGGGGGGGGGGGGGGGGTGGCTGCTATCCATCTAATATGAAAAAAAAATGAGGGAATTGAAATAACCAGAAGGTTGGAATATATTGCATAATTTATTGCCTGCCAAATTTCGACGTGTCTCATCAAGTGCATTACTATCGATTTTTACATCAACATCAAAATAATGAAAAAGTTAGTTGTGTATCCTTTACACGACGGCGCAGAACCAGCTCCAGCCTGTTTTGTGCAATTTGTGGTTTTTCTAGGAACATTTACGTTCAGTAGTGTGCTATTGCTATGACCGGTCGACTCGCCATACCGCTGTCGAAACCAACACTGCAAAAATCGCCTGCAGTTGGGATCGAACCCGGCACCACGGCATTTCGAAGTGCGTTCGCAACGCCTAAGCCATAGACACCAAAAAAATATAACGAAGCTCATCGGTTA